CCCGCTCCGCGGCCCCGCTCGACCACGGCGGTCGCAGGGCGCCCCCCAGGGTCGAGCGGGAGCTGGCGCGGTCGTTCGGGATCCTCCTCCCTCCTCCTCCTCCTCCTCCTCCTCCTCCTCCCTCCTCACCTCCTCCTCCTCCTCCTCCCTCCCCTCCTCCTCCTCCTCCTCCCTCCTCTTCCTCCTCCTCCTCCTCCTCCTCCTCTCCTCCTCCTCCTCCTCCTCCTCTCCTCTCCTCCTCCACCTCCCTCCTCCTCCTCCTCCTCCTCCTCCTCCCCTCCTCCTCCCATCCTCCTCCTCCCCTCCTCCTCCTCCTCCTCGTCCTCCTCCTCCTCCTCCTCCTCCTCCTCGTCGTCTTTCTTTTTCCATTGTTTCCCCCTTTTTGTTCCCCTCACCTCCTCCTCTTCCTCCTCCTCTTCCTCCTCCTCTCCCATGGTCGAGCGGGAGTTGGCATGGTCGTTCGGGGTCCGTTCTTGCATCGCTGCTCGGCGCCGCTCGGTGGCCTCGCACCTGGAAGGGCCAGGGCCGCCAAGCTGTGCCGGCGCCCGCGCCCGATGCCGGCCGACCAGTTGGCCGAGGAGCGGGCCGAGCTGGCCGACCTCCCTCCCAGACTCCCTCGGGTGATGAAAAAATCACGACGGGAGGATTTTCGCTGTTTTCGGCCTCTGGGGGCCCTCACCGGGTCTCGGGGCCGTCAAAACACACTCAGAACGAAAAACCGGTCCCGGGGAAGGGGTCCAGACCTCTGGGGGTCGCGTCGTAAAAAAATCACGACGTCGGGGGTCTGGGCTCGCAGCGTGGTTGCACGCGCCACGGGACGCGCCAGCCTGCCGGCGCAGGGTCGCGTTCGCCGCAATGCGGCGGCCGCGCCGACGGCTGCGTCGATCCCACCAGCTCGTGGGTGCGACGGCCTGCAGTGGGGGCGTTCGTTCGGGAGCGTGTCCAGGGGGCTTCAGCCTCCAGGGGATCCCTGATTCTGAGGAGGGCGGCGGTGGTATCTGTGGCCCAGCCTCCACTGGTTTTCCACCACCTTCCAGACCCTGGATTCCTCACCCAATGGCCCCTTATCCAAAGGTTCCTTATCCAAAGGCTCCTTATCCAAAGGTTCCTTATCCAAAGGCTCCTTATCCAAAGGCTCCTGATCCAAAGGCTCCTCATCCAAAGGCTCCTCATCCAAAGGTTCTTTATTCCTCCAGATTCCTCACCCAATGGCCCCTCATCCAGTGCCCTCACCCCTAGATCACCCGAGGGGGCGCGCAGCGGAATGCGCTTCGCCAGTCGCGGCTCGGCTTGGAGAGGCGCCCTCCCGAAAGGCTGCCTCGCGAGGGAAGGGCCGAAGACGATCGCACTGGAACATAAGCACAGAAGAAACTCCACGTGGTGAAACCTTGTGTGAGCGAAAAAGCCATGCGCGGAAAGGGCGGGACACCTTCGGGACAGAGCCAGGGGAGAGAGGGGTGTAGCTCGCATACCGCGTAAGCGCGCAGGGAGGGGCGCAGGGGAGGGCCCCCGGACGCCCAGACGCTGGCACCGCCCCTCGCATCGGCGGCGTGCCTCCGCTGCGGGGCGATGACCCCGACCTCGGCGGTGGCGGCAACGCTCGGGCGTCCCAGGCGGCCGAAGCAGGACCACCGGCACCGGGAAATCTGGGAGCCTGCTCCCAGGCCTGGGAGGCACATCCCTCAGCGAGCGAAGAACGGTAGAACATAAGCTTTCCGCCGTCGGGGGCGCCTGTCCCAGGGCGGCTGGGAAGTCTATACCCCTACGGTGCCACCGTAAGGGTATAAACTTCCCAGCCGCCCTGGGACAGGCGCCCCCGACGGCGAAACAGTTTATTTTACACCGTTCTTCGCCCGTTAGTTTATTCCCCAATCAGAGCTTGCCTCTGTAGGGGTCCTAGCGGATATAAAGCTGAGGTGAGGTGAGCGGCCGATTTCGGTGGCCGGGGCCGGGTGCCGGGGTGCCCGGGGGTTCCCGGGGGTGCCCGGGTGCCCAGGTGTGTGGCCGATTTCGGTGGCCGGGGCCGGGTGCCCGGGGGTGCCCGGGGGTGCCCGGGGGTGCCCGGGTGCCCAGGGGTGCCCGGGTGCCCGGGGTGCCCAGAAGTGCCGGGGGGTGCCTAGCCCAATAGCCTTATATCCCTATAGCCCCATAGCCCAATCGCCATATATCCGTATAGCCCTATAACCCTATAGCCCTATAGCCGTACCTGTACGACCACCCTTCGGGTGATAAGGAGGTTCGGGGGGGGGGAACCAACGTCTCACTCGATCGGTCTCACTATCGATCTCAGTATCGATCTCACTATCGGTCTCGCTCGATCGATCTCACTCGATCGATCTCACACTCGATCTCACTTGATCTATCTCATTCGATCGATCTCACACTCGATCTCACAATCGATCTCACAATCGATCACACATTCGATCTCACATTCCCACTATCGATATCACAATCGCTCTCACAATCAACGTCATCATCATCATCATCAGCATCATCATCATCAACATCATCAACATCAACATCATCACCAACATCGTCACCATCATGAGGGCACCGTCATCATCATCATCATCATCATCATCATCATAAACATCATCATCAACGTCAGCATCATCATCGGGACAACATCATCATCATCATCATCATCATCACCATCATCATCTCATCATCAACATCATCATCATCATCATCATCATCGGGACACAGTCATCGTCATCACCAGCAGCAGCATCATCGTAATCATCATCATAATCGGGACACCATCATGATCACCATCGTTCGCATCATCAACATTACCATCAACATCGTCATCATCCTCGGGGCACCATCATCATCATGATCATCGCATCATCATCATCATCGACATCATCATCATCATCAATAACATCATCATCATCATTGGGGCACCATCATCATGAGCAACATCATCATCAACATCGTCATTATCATTCTTATCATCATCGGGACACCATCAGCATCACCATCATCATCATCATCATCATCACCATCATCATCATCATCATCATCATCATCATCGGGACACCATAATCATCATCAACATCATCATCATCATCATCAACATCATTATCGCCGGGACACCATTTCCATCAACATCAGCATCACCAACATCATCGGAAGGATCATCATCATCATCATCATCATCATCATCATCATCATCGGGACACCATCATCGTCATCATCATCAACATAATCATCATGGGCATCATCATCCTCATCATCGGGACACTATCATCATCATCGACACCATCGTCAACATCATCATCATCATCTTCATCGGGACACCATCATCATCATCATCATCATCATCATCATCATTATCATCATCACCATCACCATCATCATCATCATCATCATCATCACCATCATCATCATCATCATCATCATCATCATCATCATCATCTCATCATATTCATCCTCGCGGGACACCGCGGGACACCGGCGGGACACCGCGGGACACCGCGGGACACCGCGGGACACCGCGGGACACCGCGGGACACCGGCGGGACACCGCGGGGCCCCGCGCCCCGGATGAGAGAAACATTTGGTCCGGCCGCGCCTCAGCCACAGGAGGACACCGCGGGACACCGGCGGGACACCGCGGGGCCCCGCGCCCCGGAAGAGAAACATTTGGTCCGGCCGCGCCTCAGCCACAGGAGACTTTTTCTCGCCCGCCCACGCAGCTTCGCCCCGCACGCACGGCACGCACGAACACGAAACCGAAACCGATTTCCCGGTGGGGGGCTCGCCGTTCCACTTCGACCTCACCCCCTCACCTCCGATAGCCCTATAGCCCAATAGCTCAATAGCCCCATAGCCCCATAGCCCCATAGCCCTATAGCCCTATAGCCCTATAGCCCTATAGCCCTGTAGCCCTATGGTCCTAAAGCCCTATAGCCGTATATAGCCCTATAGCCCGAATAGCCCGAATAGCCTTATAGCCCTTAGCCCTATAGCCCTATAGCCCTGTAGCCCTATAGCCCCATAGCCCTAAAGGCTTCTAGCCCTGTATCCCTATGGCCACATCGCCCTATAGCCCTATAGCCCCATAGCCCTAAAGCCCTAAAGCCCCATAGCCCCCCCCAAATTCTGATAGGGGTTTTTCTCTGGTATCATTTCACACCGTTCTTCGCCCGTTAAATCCCGCCCCCCCCGTGCTGGTGCCGGTGCCCATGGCGCCAGGCCCCAGGCGCCGGGGACGGCGGGGGGCCCGCGTCACCCCCGGCTGGAGTGGCGTCCACGGCCGCAGGGCGGCCCTGAGACGAGAGCGAGGGCTGCCGGCGCGCTCGGCGAGGCGAGTCGCGCATAGTATGCTATCGCTGTCCGCTCCCGCCTCCCGCTCCGCCCCCCCGCCCCCGAAGACAGAGAGTGTCTGGGGAGGAGGAGGAGGAGGAGGAGGAGGAGGAGGAGGAGGAGGAAGACGAGGAGGAGGAGGAGGAGGAGGAGGTGAGGAGGAGGAGAGAGGACGGACAGACGAGGAGGAGGAGGAGGAGGAGGATGAGGAGGAGGAGGAGGAGGAGGAGGAGGAGGCGAGGAGAGGAGGAGGAGGAGGAGGAGAGGAGGGGAGGGGGAGGAGGAGGAGGAGGAGGAAAGAGGAGGAGGAGGATGGAGGAGGAGAGGAGGAGAGAGGAGGAGGACGGGGGAGGAAGAGGAGGAGGAGGAAGAGGAGGAGGAGGAGGAGGAGGAGGAGGATCCAGGAGGAGGAGGAGGAGGAGGACGAACAGGAGGAGGGGTGGAGGAAGGAGGAGGAGAGGCTGGAGGAGGAGGAGGAGGAGGACGAAGAGGAGGAGGAGGAGGAGGCGGAGGAGGAGAGGAGGAGAGGAGGAGGAGGATGAGGATAGGAGGAGGAGGAGGATGAGGGAGGAGGAGGACGACGACGAAGAGGAGGAGGGGGAGGAGGAGGGGGAGGAGGAGGAGGGGCCCGCGGCGCGCCTTCTGTGCGGCCGCCCGCCCGCGGCGGCCGCGGGCGGCTCTTCTGCCAGTACTGCAACGGCGCGCTGACGGGCCCGCTGCGGCCCCCGGGGGCCGGGGACGCCGACGTGATCACGCAGAGGCGCGGCCTGCCCGGGGCGCCCCCTCTGCTCCTCGAGCGTTTTTTTTGTTTTTTGTTACTTCGCTCTCTCTCTCTCTCTCTCTTTGTCTATTTTTTTGTTGTTCTCTCTCTCTTTCTCTCGCTCTCTCTCGCTCTCGCTCTTTTTCGCTCTCTCTCTCTCTCTCTCTTTATTTGTGTTTATATATACACATGTACATAGGACCATGGGTATATCTAGAGGCTCGCGTGTACGAGCTACCTCTTCACATGTTTATAAGCATATGACTATACACGCCCTCCGGGTAATACGGAGGCTGGGGGATGGGTGAAGTTTTGGGCTTGCGATGGGCGCCGGATCGACGTCGCAATGTATATAGTCTTTAATCTAGTCACATCTCACTCGTTTATCTCTATTCCCCAAACAGTGCTTGCACTTAGGGGTTCTTGCATCTGGACAAGGGATCTGGGCCGCACTGTTGGTTCGGCGGCTACGTCGCCGCCGCCGTCGCCGCCGCCGTCGCCGCCCCGTCGCCGCCCGTCGTCGGGGGCGCGGTGTTCGTCCCCGCGCTTGTTGCCGCTGGCGCCGCCCTGGCGCCGCCTCGTCGTCGTCCCGTCGCCGCACTAAGAGTACACAGCATAGTTCTCCCTCCTTAAATAAGAATAGAGTCGACCCCCCCCAAGAGTTCACGGGTCGCTTTTTCGTATTGCAATCTACATGTGGTTCTGCCCCATCGTCCATCTAAGTATGAATGCAGACTATCCTTGCCAAGCCGATATCGCCCTCCCGCCATCCTTTGCAAAATAGACGATGTGCGCACATTTTGGATCGTCTGATCCGATCTGCAGTAGAGACATTTGACTTACTTCATAATTGGATCAACGGATTAGGAAACGAAGCATGGGAGACCGTACGACGGAATTGCTCAGGTATCCAAGAGGCTACGGTTTTCATACACACGTCTACGGAGTTTCAATTCAGTGTCAAGACTCCTCTTGCCAACAACCTTGTTGGGGTTTGCAATACTGATAGTGCTATTGGGATTACCAATTGTCTTAAGAAGAAAAAGGAGGAGAGTGGCCCAGCCAACTCTCCAACCGAGACAATCCCAGCCGAGTCGCCAGCAGATGTTGCAACCCCAGGTGTTGAAGGCAACACCCCGAGCGGCACCGCCGCCCCGGAACAGCGAACTCAGGAATATTCTCGCCCAGCATCGCGACCGAGGTACCCGTATGGAAGGCAGTCTTAGCGGGCCGCCCCTTATGCACCTGCGTCTGCCGGCCCAGCCGCGTCAGGCACCAATATTGGCTGGATCGATTATGACAGAATCCAGTCGTGGGCGGACGAATCCTGGACTGATGAGCCCATCCCTGAAAGACTGGCTGTAGAGCCGGTTGGCGGCTGCGCGAGCGATGGCGGCGGCCCCGGGCTGACCATGGACGGCGTTTACGACTACGAAGACAAGAGCGACAACGGAGAAGTTCAAGGATACTATGTACATGTATCCCAGCATCACCGAGTCACCGGTCACAGCAAAACGTGGCAATTGTTTAGTCTGGACGAGTACAAAAAAAAGTTCCAGCGTGACTCTGGGATGCCAAGTACTTTGCCAGAGCCTCCACCGCCGCCTACGCCGAAGGCGAGTCCGCCGGAGAAGGGCCAGGGCAAGAGTGAGCCAAGTGGCTGGAGTTCGAGCAGAAGAGAGGACAGCTCCTCCAGGAATCAGAACCAGTGGCGCTGGAGCAACAGCGGTCCCTGGGACGACCCTCGTGAATGGAGAGGTCGCTGGAGAAGGTGATGCAGCGCAGTGGAACCGGTACGACAAAGTCGATGCTGGTCCGCACTGCTTCGTGGAGCGGGTGCACCAGGTGTGCACGGGCATTGTGGCATGAGCTGGAAATATTAGCTCAGGCGGGGAACGTAGGGTTTCTTCGGCCTTCCGCCCCCTGGCAACCACCGTTGAGCGGTCAAATGCTTTTGGGGTTCGCTCCGGTGGCTGTGTATATGTACAGGCCAGGTGGGTTGGGGGGTCGGGGCGGCTCTACGGGCCCCGCCGCGGGGGGAGTCAACGCATCCCTTTCGCACCACCAATATTTCGCCCTGCCTGCTCTCTCTCCTTGCGCGCGCTGTCTGCCTGCTGTACTGAATGACTACTTCAGCTCCCGCAGCTGCACTACTTTGGCTCTAGGGAAACGGAAAAGGAGCGAGCCTGCGGCGCGCGCGCGCGTGTCGGCCGGCGGGCCGGCCTCCTTCCTTCAGTGCTCTGTTAGTGTATGTTTGACGGCACTATCCCTTCTTACCCATGTCATTTACGGAGCCCACTGACCATGATATATTATCCGAACATATTGCAGGGATGATGAACACTCAGGCTAAAGATTCCTCATCCTGTCCCGGCGGCGGGGCCGATGACCGCCCTCCTAGCTCCTGGCGGGGGCAGCCGGGCGGCAGCTGGGGCCCCCTCCAGACCCTCGTGGTCGCGCAACTCGCGCCGCTGGACGCGGGCCCGCGCGTCTCCGAGCCATCGGCCCAGCTGCTTGTCGCGCCGCCTGCGTGCCGCTGCGAACACCTTCGATTCCTCGGGCACCTGCCAGAGCCTCGCGCCTCGCCTGGCAATGGAGTCGGCGACGACGTTGCCTGCCCGCCCGTCTCCACTGATCCTGCGCGGTCATGGCCGCCTCCTCGGCCACGTGGGCCTTCACCTTGACCGCCCCCGCGTCCTGGTCCCTCAATTCGGTCCACCAGGCCCCCCATAAGTGGCGGCGGACTTCTGCGCCCCTAAGGCGAAGTCCCGGCCCCGAGCGCGCCGGGCCGCGCCCTTGCAATTACAGTGCGCCCTCAAGGGGCCCTGGCCAAGCGCCGCGAGCATCTTGAAGGCGTAGTCCTCTCCGTCCCGCGCTTCCTGGAGGGGCCCCTCGGATCGCTACAAAGGCTGCTCCCGTGACCTCCCCGCCGTCGTCGATTGTGGCGATCGCCCAGCCTGCGCGGCGCAGCGCATCGTCCTCGACTTCGCAGGCGCTGCCGTCGACGAAGACGTCGCCCGTGAAGTAGCCGCTTGCGGGCCTGGCGCGCCACGCTAGGCGGGTGCTCTCGGGGGCCTCTGCCCTGGGGAAGCACCGCGAGGGACTCGACAGCAGGGGCCTCGCGAACAGCTCCCCCGCCGCCTCGCCACGCGACCGCGCGACCGATGCCGCGTCTACGAGCTCGGAGGGGCATCGATTCCCCCTGCGCGCCGCCGCGCAATCGCATTCGAAGTGGCGATGCCACAGGGTCCCGCGCGCCGCCCGGCACTGCCTGGCCTGGCCTGCGTCCAGTGGGATCCGCCGATGTGGCTCCCAAGGGTGCGCCCATGGGAAGCCCCCCACTCCTCATCGGCGCCGCGCCCGGCCAGCAGCGCTGCCGTCGGCGCCCAAGTCAGCGACGAGGCGGGGAAGGCCATGGCCAGCAGCGCCGCCGTCGGTGCCAAGTGGCCCCTATGCCCAAGACGCCCACAAGAGGCCCCCAAACAGCCCCCCAAGAAGCCAGATGCTTCAGAACTGGTTTCAAGAGACGCCCGAGAAGCACACCAAGAGACCCCGACAGGTATCCAAGAAGCCTCTGACCGACAACCCAGGCACCGTGGCGGCATGAGCCGAAGGCCAGTAGAAAAGCTGACGCTTGCCTTGAGAATGGCGCAACCCCATGCAGTCACGCGCAGCGCAGGGCGCGGCCCTCTCTTCAAGTACCGCGTGCCGCGGGGCAGTGCGGATAGGGGGCTGCTGCGGGGCAAGCGCGCGCTGGCGCGCTGAAATCTTAGTTGGGCAAGATCCGCGTGAGGGGGGGGGGGGGGGGGGGTGCGAGCGGTCGGGCGGGCCATTTCGCTGGCGTTTACGGGCTTGCAGCTGTGAGCTTGTCACGGACTGAGGCTTGCTAGAAGCTAAGCGCGCGAAGCGCGCGTGGTTGTATCCTCAATTTCCCTTCTCACGATTGCCATATTGCGCGCGCGTGCTGGTGCTTGTGGGGTAGATCCCCTGGGCGCCAGGGTGCGCGCAGGCCGTTCAGGGTTTTCTTCCCGAGTATGGCACGCGACTTGCCGGCGAAATCTTCCGACGCTGGCCGTCGCGCGATTGTTTGAATTTGTCCGCCTTGCGTGCGCGCCCTTGGGCAATCGACCAGATGAGTGCGCGTCAGGCCGATTTGCCTCCGTCGAAAAATACCCATGTCAAGTCTTGTTGTTGGTGCTCCGAACTCCACCTACCAGCAGCGAGTAGTTTCGATGCGCATGTCGCACGCACTCTTGGAATTCGTGTTAACACTGAGAAGACAAGTCGGATTGAGGGCTTACCGCTCACGCGAATCCATTTCAAGTCGTGCGCGTGTTGGCTGCTTCGGAGCAGGCAGACGTCGTCGCGTTCACCTTCTTTCTTCCGACCGGGGGGCGGGGCCCGGCGGGGCCCGGCCATGGGGGGCGCGCGCGGCCTCGCATGGGGCCTCGGGGGGGGGGGGGCGCGGGGCTCGACCGCGCGTCGCGGCGGCCCGGGGGGGGGCCCAGGGCCAGTGGGGGAAAAAAAAACTGCACCTGCGGCGGGTTTGCGATTGCTTAAAGCTGTTCGAAAATCGGCCCGTGCGGCAGGCCTGCGACTTCGATGGGCATTTCAAATGGATGCGTTCGGGGAGGCCCCTCGCTCCTATCCGCTTTTGCGGGGGCTCTGGTATGTGCCAAGCGATGCGTCTATATCGGGATATTCGTCAATGTTCACTTTTCGGACCTGAGGCTTCAGGTTCGTCAGAGTGACGGGGCTGAACCGAACGGTCATTCACTGTCCGTGAATGGAATTCCGCGATGCGGATTCTTGTTGTTTGTTGTTTGTTGTTGTCGTCGTCCCACCCGCGACCCGCCCCGCAACCCACCCGCGACCCACCCCGCGACCCACCCGCGACCCACCCGCGACGCACCCCCGCGACCCACCGGCGACCCACCCCGCGACCCACCCGCGACCCACCCCGCGACCCACCCGCGACCCACCCGCGACCCACCCGCGACCCACCGCGACCTACCCGCGACCCACCCGCGACCCACCCCGCGACCCGCCCAAAGTTTTCGGCGCTTGCGGCGGGTTTCCTTTGCATTCGTTCCAGGTGGAGAACTTGCGACACACCCGCGACCCAAACCGCGTTCAGTGTACAAATCCAAATGTTCGGCGCCTGCGGCGGGCTGTTTATGAATTCCTTCCAGGTGGAGGTGGAGAGCCCGCGACCCACCCGCGACCCAAACTACGTTCGCTGAACAAGCCAAAAGTTCGGCGCTGGAGAACTTCCGACCCAAACCGCGTTCAGTGTACAAATCAAAATGTTCGGCGCCTGCGGCGGGCTGTTTATGAATTCCTTCCAGGTGGAGGTGGAGAGCCCGCGACCCACCCGCGACCCAAACTACGCTCACTGAACAAAGCAAACATTCGGCGCCTGCGGCGGGCTGTTTTTGCATTCGTTCCGGGTGGCCCACCAGCGATCCCCCCCGCGCTGAACTGGTCAGAGCACGCAAAAATCGGCGCCTGCGGCGGGCTTGCTCGCATTGGTTAGGGAAAACGCCTTCGTGCCATACCCCCGATCTGGCCCACGCTGACTCTACAACAGCACATCGGCGCCTGCGGCGGGGCTGTGTCTGAACACGTTCATTGACAATCCGGCTGCCTGCTGCAATTTGGCATCCGTGCCAAAAGCTTGGGTTCAGGGGAAGCTGCCTCAAGGCGCCCACAATTTAGGGAGGAGGAGGAGGAGGAGGAGGAGGAGGAGGAGGAGGAGGAGGAGGAGGAGAAGGAGCAGGAGGAGGAGGAGGAGGAGGAGGAGGAGAAGGAGGAGGAGAGGGAGGAGGAGGAGGAGGGCGCCATCGACAGGGAAGGTGAGGGCCACGAGGTCCGCCGGCTCGACGCCCGCGTCGCCCGCGCCCGCCCCCTCACTCGTATCCGCATTTGCGGGGTGCTACGTATATGACCAATCGTTGTTTGCTCTCTCTCTCTCTCTCTTTTTTTTTTTCTCTCTCTCTCTCTCTCTCTCTCTCTGTCTCAGCACCACTTCCGTGCTGCATTCGGCCCTGACTCTGGCCTGCGGGGCCTGGCGTGCCGCTGGCGTGCAAAGCGATCGCTCCGACGGGCTCGTCGACCCCGCGCCGCCTGCCTACCTCCCACTCCCTCCTGCTACCCACCCTCCCTCCTACCTTCCCCCCCCTCCTCCTCCTCCTCCCCTCCTCCTCCTCATCTTCCTCCTCCTCCTCCTCCTCCTCCTGCCTCCTCCTCCTCCTCCTCCTCCTCCTCCTCCTCCTCCTCCTCTTCCTCCCCTCCTCCTCCTCCTCCCCTCCTCCTCCTCCTCCTCCTCCGCTTCCTACCTCCTCCTCCTCCTCCTCCTCCTCCTTCTCCTCCTCCTCCTCCTCCTCTTCCTCCGCCTCCTCCTCCCCTCCTCCTCCTCCCTCCCTCCCTCCCTCCCTCCCCTCCCTCCCTCCCGCCCTCCCCTCCCTCCCTCCCCCCTCCCTCCCTCCCTCCCTCCCTCCCTCCCTCCTCCCCCCCTCCCTCCCTCATCCTCCTCCTCCCCCTCCACCTCATTTCCATCCTTTTCCTCCTCCTTTCCCCTCCTTTTCTCCTCTCCTCCCTCTCCTCCTCCTCCTCCTCCCATTCTCCTCCCTTCTCCTCCCTCCCTCTCCTCCTCCTCCTCCTCTTCCCCTCCTCCGCCTCCATCCTCGTCCTCCTCCTCCTCCTCCTCCTCCTCCTCCTCCTCCTCCTCCTCCTCCTCTTCTTCCTCCTCCTCCTCCCGCGTCTCCCACCCAGCCACCTTCCTACCTTCCCCCGCATTGGTATCGCCCGGAAGTGTGCATCTTCTCTCGGCGAGGGCCATCCAGGAGCATGTTGGGCCATCCTGCGACGAACTGCACGCACGAGGCCGAAGAATACGCGGGGAATGGACGTCCGAGCGATGGCGAGCCTCCTTCCCCCTCCTTCCCCCTTCTTCCCCCTCCCGCCTCCTCCCGCTCCCGTTCCCCGCAGGTGCCTCAACATGAACTGCGGCAAGCCCACGCCCTCCTGCGCCCTGCGCTCACCTCGGCTCTCTTGCGGGCGCGGGCCGGACGGGCGCTCCGGCCGGGCGTTTCGGCCGGGCGTTTGGCCCAGGGGGGTCAGGGAGAGGCGAGGGAGAAAGAGAAGGGAGGAGAGAGGAGAGAGGAGGAGGAGGAGGAGGAGGAGGAGGAGGAGGAGGAGGAGGAGGAGGAGGCGGAGGCGGAGGAGGAGGAGGAGCTGGAGGAGGAGGAGGACGAGAAGGAGGAGGAGGGAGAGGAGCAGGACGAGGAGGAGGAGGAGGAAGGAGGAGGCAGGAGGGGGGGCGGAGGGGCGATGGGGAACCTGGACCTGGGTGCGCCGCTGACCATGGGCAGGGACTGCGCGGCGGGCGCTGGGCGCCACCGTTCGGCCACGGGTCCTGAGTGAGTCAGGGTGCTCACGCCTTGCTGCCCAACCCTTTGTGTACTCGCCCTTCTCGGGCCCTGGCCGGGTTGCTCGCTCTTCTTGGCCGCCACCGCTGCCCCTCTTTCGATGTTCCCGCCGTTGTCGGCTTCTGCCGCGTTGCGTCTTCGGATGGGCTACATGGTGATTGCCATTGCTCTAAGATGGAGGAGGAGGAGGAGGAGGAGGAGGAGGAGGAGGAGGAGGAGAGGAGGGAGGGGGGGGGAGGAGAGAGGGAAGGGGAGAGAGGGAAGGAGTAGGATGAGGGGGAGGAGGAGGAAGGATATGGGAAGAGGCCGCGACGACGAGGAGCAGGGAGAGCCACGGGCGAAAGCGGGCAGGAAGGGGGCGGGGGGCGGGGGGGGGAGGCGCGAGGGGGCCGGATGCGCGGCTGCGGTGCGGAGGCCGCGGAGGACCGTGGGCGTGCTCGCGGCGCGGGCCCCCGCCCGGCCGACGGGCGCCGCCGCGGCTCGCCGTGGGGCGCCCCGGGGGCCGTGGCGGCGCGGCCGCCCGCCCGGCCCCACGGCCGACTGCCGCGGCGGCCGCCCGACCGTCGTGGCCCCGACCGTCGTGGCTTCTGCGCCGTGCCGCTGCGCTCGGCGCGGGCGAAGCGGGTGCACGCTTAGGGGGCCGCACGCGAGCCCTGCCCCTACCCCCCACGATTCCTGAGGGGGAGGGTGGGGTTCGCTTCGCTCGGGAGCTCCCGAGCGAAGTGGACCCCCCCTTCCCCCTCAGAAATCGTGGGGGGTAGGGGTAGGGTTCGCAAGCGGCCCCCTAACATTGTTCATGCCTGATGCTTTGGAGGTTCGTCGATTTTGGGGGGCCAGGGTCCTTTCAGTTCTACCTGTTCTATCCTGGGCCTCTTCCTGGCCAGCAGGGGGCCAGGAACAACTCGAACCGAGCACAGTTAGAAACGAGCACGACTAGAAGTGAACGACGTGTACGGAAAGAACGGGTGCAATGCCCAACAGCAGTTCCTGCTGATTTTGAACAGGGTTCGCTGTCCGCGCCGCCGCGGCCTGTGTCCACTTGAGACAGAAAGCCGCCTGCCCAGCAGCGGCCGCTGTTGGTTTGGGGCAGCGACCTCGGGCCCGCGACCTCGACCCCCCTGGGGCCCCGCCGCCGGGGCCCGGGAGGCCATATTCCTCCTCCTCCTCCTCCTCCTCCTCCTCCTCCTCCCTCCTCCTCCCTCCTCCTCCTCCCTCCTCCTCCTCCTCCCTCCTCCTCCTCCTCCCTCCTCCTCCTCCTCCCTCCTCCTCCCTCCTCCTCCGGGCACGGACCTCCGCGGCGAGGGGCCACCCGTTTGTCGGGCCGATCAGAAGGCGGGGATTGGGAAGGGGGAGGTTACGAGATCTGCTGCATGCAGCCGGTTTCGGCCCCACCGAGGGGCCCATTCCTCGATTCTCACCCCGGCCCTTTGCTATCCCCCCCTTTCGCCCGGCCCGAGTTTGGAGAGGGGGGGGGGGGGGTCGGGACCTCCGCCGGGGCCGCGCGCGCGGACCAGACCCGCCCAGGGGAGGGGAGGGGTGGGGGTGGGGGCGCGCGGACCTCTCTGGGGCCGCGCGCGCACCCCTCCTGGGTGTCTTGGGGGGAGGGGGGTCGGGTCTCTCTCTCTCTCTCTCTCGTCTCCCTCTCTCTCTCGCTCTCTCTCTCGTGCTGTTGGCCGTCGCCTGCCCGCCGCTGCCTGGCTGCGGGCCTCGGCCGCCGCCGCCTCCTCTCGCCCGCGGCCGCGTGCGGCGGCGGGCGATGGCGCGCCCGTCGGGCGCGAAAGGCAGAAAAGGTGAGGGGGGGCTGGGGCCTCTCTTGGGTCGTCGCGCGTCCGGGTCCGCACCTGGCCGCTCCCGCCCCCGCGGGCTCGCCAGGCGCGGGCCCCGGCTCTGTGCCCCGCGCCGAGGTGCCTGCTCCCTATCTACGTCGCGCGCTCCCGGGGCGAGGAGCTGGAAGGCCGGCCACGCCTCTTCGCGGGGGGGAGGAGGGGGGGGGAGGGGGGGGGAGGAAGGGGCAGGGGTTGGAGGAGAAGAGGTCGGGATGGAGAGCGGAGGAGGAGTGAATGAATGAAAGACGACTCTGGGCCCGCATCTCTCCCTGTCCCTGCTATGCCGAGGCGGACTGAACAGCGTGCGGCAAGCTCGCATATGTAAAGCGTGTAAAACTCGTAGGTTTTCAAGTGAAACACACAGGCGTGTAATATGTATGAGAGTGCACCCGTCGGACGACTAAAAAAGTCACGAGGTTCAGAAGGGGCCCAGCGGGCCCCGACGGGCCTGTAGGCTGGGCCCCAGGGTCACGCGCACCGACGCGTAAGGCACGAACAGACCCCAGGGAGCAAGGACAGCAAGGCGTCAGTCATATTCGCAACGAGTATGGGCCAACAGGGGGGGCGGACCTCGCGGTAGCGTGAAACTGGTGAGAGGCAACTGCGATCCGTCATCAGGGGATCACATCACGCGGTCGCCGTCCGATACGTAGCGCAGCGCCTTGGGGAGGAGGCCGAAATTGAAGATGAGCCTGCCCCACGCTGCGGATATGAAACGAGATGCTCACGATGGCATTCTCACCTGCTATCTTTTGCGTCTACCGCGTTCTGCAGTATCTCCTCCATTGCGCCTGGTGGCGCCGCGCCCAGAGCCCTGCGCCCGCCGATCTCCTCTAGTGCCTTCTGCAGCAGGCCGCGGACCATCAAGGGCGAAGGCAGCGGCTGCTCGTTTGATTCGGGCGGTACGCTCGGCTGCGAGACGTCCCTCATCATCAGGTGGAGCTTCCTCTTGTTCTGGTCGTAGCACTTCGTGACCCGAAACAGGCGCACCATGTCGTACAGGTCGTGAGGCTGCAGCTCGCACCACACTCTGCCGTGCCAATCTTTGAGCATCGCGTGAGTCCTCTGCCCCAGCGCGAGCCCACGCTCGAGCAACTTGGTCACGAACCCATTGAAGATATGTAGGTGAGGAGGACCGAGCTGGTGGCCTTTGCCTCGGGCTCGGACTTCGTGTGAATACGTCGCCCCTGCCTCCTGTGCGGCCTCGATCTCTGGTAGGTCGGCGGTCAGGAAGTACGTGTCCACTCCCGCTGCCCAGAGCTCGCGCACCATCTGGGTCGTCATGAGCGTCTGCTTCACCAGCACGTTGATGAAGTTGGCCTGCTTCTTGGTGAAGCCCATGTCCTTGATCTGCCCGAGGTGCCGATTGCGCTGCTGCTTGCTGTTGGGCCCGTTGGCCGCGGCCGCGTCGGAGGCGGAGCCTGGGTTGGGGTTGGAGCTCTTGCCGCCCTTGTCCTTCTGTGGGGGGCCGCCCTTGGCCTTGGCCTGCACGGGAGCGCCCTCTGCCTCTGCGGCGCCAGGCGGCCGCTTCTCCAGCATCCACTTGGGCTTGGGGTTCGCCATCGCCAGCCCGTCGCTCAGGTAAGAAAGGCAGGTGCCGCTCGCAAATGTGATCCTGGAGCTGAGCCAAATCGAAATACGAAGACGTGGCGCACACTGGGCAGACAAGCTTGGGGACGACCACGGGATGTAGTGCATGCGCGCTGTGAATATCACAAACTCCCCGACGAAAGGCCCGACAGAGATGAGCCTTCGCGGTCTTCTGAAAAGCAAAGGAAGTACGACACGCTGGACACTGGTTCGTGACGACACATCTGGCATAGTAGGAGAAGTTGCCATGAGAGCCGCCCTGGGTGTGGGTCTGGTGCGCGACGAGAGCAGCATGGGTGAAGAAACGGGCGCCACAAACGTCTCCATCTTCTGTAGTGCATCTGCAAACGTGCACGCAGCCAGAGGGGCCCAAGAAGTCCTCAATCCCACCCTGTGAGGCGGAGAGGCAGGGTCCGAAGTCGATAGTGTCCAGCTCAGTCTTACCGCTCTGCCAGATCTTGCGCAAAGCAGAAACATCAGCCGCCAGAAACTGATGTGATCTGTAGTCGTCATGGAAGAGCGCATGGGTGTCCTCGCCCCAGACGGAGCGCCAGTCTTCATAATCAGTTAGAAGCTCGAGCCTGTAAACGTCAGTCACGAAACGAACGGCGAACGGGTTGGCGTGAACGGTGAGGCGGCCCTCGGACAAGGTGGGGGCATTCCCGAAGCCGAGGCGACCGAAGAGGAGGCTGATGACCTGGGAATGTTCTTCGGGCCATTTAACCATGGCCTGGTACCATCGAAGTCTCTGTATCAACCACTCGACCCCCGACGGAACAATATTCATCCATTTCCAGACGTCCCGAGAGTCCTTAACAATGGGATGGTCGCCAGATCGATCACACAAAGCCCCCGCGGCAATACGTCGGATTTTGCCCAAGAGCGCGATGTCAAACTGGGCCTCTTGAGAGCTCGTGAGGAGATACGGTGTAAGTCCGGACAGTAGCGCACCTTGCACCACGGATATGAATACTAGCCTCTTCACCTTTAACGGGGCCCCCGAGGTCCACAAATACTTGAAAGACATCCACCCCCTGTTGGCCGCTACTTTACTCAGTGCAAGCTGATGAGAAAAAGCGCCAGAGGGCAAAAACTGCGGTCCCAAGTGCCTGGTGTGCGGGGCCACGCGGGCCCCTCCAACCTCCGCCGCATAAAACTGGCGGGTGGCCTTGTAGCCACAAAGGCGGGGGACCAAAACTTGTTTCGACGTGTTTTGCTTGTATCCGTACGCAGCCAGGGCATTGCCGAGCTTAGTCTGGGCGTCGCGCGCTGTGGCGACGGCCTCGGAAAGTGCCCCCTCCTGGAGTAGCAAAAAATATGCCAGGTCGTCCACGTATTTGAAGAGGCCCGCATAGACCTCGCGCCCGAAAACGAGGCACGACGCGCACAGGGCTGGGTCCTGAAACTGGGCGAGCTCCTGGAGGGGGCGAGCAAAATCAACTCGAAATTCGTCGGGCGCACTGGGATCCCCCATCAAGGCCCCGCTTTGGAGGTGGAGGGTGGTGGGTCGTTCTACGCCCTCGAGGTGAAGAAGGTGCGTGGTGCGCCTGTCACTGAGCAGGTCAACATCCCCTGCTGGTAAATACTCTAAAAGTCCTTGATTCATGCGCTTGTGCTCGCAACAACCGAAAGCGTTCTTCATGTCATCGAAAACAGCAATGTGCCACACGCGTGCGCTACGCAAGCGATCCTCCAGGATGTGCGTGCCCAAGATAGCATTCTCTCGCCTGCGCCGAGGGATGCATCCATGGTCATACTCGGCAGGCGCAGCGTGTGGGACCGCCCGATAGATGCCCCTGGCGATCGCTCTAAAGAAGGGGCAGAGGCCGTGCAGAAATCGGGTGCCGCCGTCAGGTTTGGGAGTCTGCCATCCGAGAGAAAACCCCGCACACGTAGGAAACCTCCCCACCGCCCGCCAACACGTGGCCAGACTTCCCAAACCTATCTTGATGGCCTCTACCTCAGGGGGCTCGGGCTTCCCGCCGACTCCGAAAGGAGAGATACGTGGCTTACTATAATACTTGGGCTTGAGAAGCATGGGCCAGATCTCGCCTGGGAGAGACCAGGCAGGGACAGAACGTCTGCGCGAAGCCTTGCGGAGCACCCATGAAGCTCTTCGAAGGTCTCTGGCTCCCAACTCCCCCGCCGAATCCCGCTCGCCCATCCCTTGAGGAGCCAAAGAGGCCCGCTGCTGCAAAAAATTGTCTAGCTGGACTGGGACCGCAGAGAGACCGCCCTCCGAACCAGGAAGGCCCAGGGTGCCCGCGAGCTCATCCGCCGATGCAACGTGCCTGCGCACCGCCGCGTAGCTACGCCGTTTGGGTCCCAGTCCAGTGCCCGCCAATCTACGAGAGAAGTATTGTACGCTGGCAAGGTCACGTTTGCGCCAGGCCTCATGTATGCCTTCAGTCCAGGTCCTGCGCAGCGAGCGTGTCCACCGTCGGACCTCCCACCTGATGCGATTCGTGAAGTCGCGGATCTGAAAATCATAGTGGCAATGAGGGAGGCCCATGGCGCGCAGCACAGCGCGCCCACGGAGAAGGCGGCGAACCTGGAGACGATGTTGCGCCAGCTCGGCACCTGGAGTCCGCCTGGCCCTGCCGAAGTGCTTCTTGGCGACCGGCGCCAGCGCGTCCATGAGAGCGGCGTAGCCCGCGTCGATCATGTTGTTCTCAAAGAACCCAAGGTACGAGGGCGCCGCGCGCTGCAGGGCCAGGTTGGCCTCTTCCAGGAACCCCTCACGCAGGCCAGGCGTCTGCAGCGCGGTCTCGATGGCATCGAAGTTCCAGGACGCCGAGATCTGCGAAGACCGCAAGCTCGGGACGCCCAGGTCCGCCTCCAGGAGCACAGGGGAGTGGTCTCGCAGTGTCCCTTTGGATGGGTAGAGCTGGAGCTGCCTGGCCGCCTTAGTCATGGTGAGCAACTTCGACACTCGCGGCAGGGCTCCAGCAGGCAGGGCGAAGTGGTCGATCCAGGTAGACGACTTCTCGCCATTGTAAGTAGGAGCTATCTTGTAGAAGGTGGTTGCGCAAGCAAAATGGTGTCGGTGCAGCACTTCTCGGAGCCCTCGAGCCGCGTAGCCCATGCGCGCCTGCACGTAGGGCCCGATGCAGCTGAAGGAGCCACTGGTCTCGTCCTCCGCAAACGAGTCGTTCAGGTCCGTGAAGATGATTGGGGTAGAGCGCTCGGGGGTGGTGTCCAGCATTCCGTTGAGCCACTCGAGGAGCATGTCGACCGTGCGCCGCCAGGTGGCCGTCCCCGAGCGCGGGCCAGGCGGCGGGAAGTAGAGCGCGATGGCTGTAACATCAAGAGATCCAGTGACCACTCGCACCATCCCAGCGCGGCCCAGCGCGGCAGCAGGCCCAGGTAGCACACGATGCACTCGCAGCCCCAGGTCTCGGCGGCGTACTCCGATGGTGACGCCCGCAGCCCTGTTGGTGAAGGGCCCCCTGCCGTAGCCGAAGTGGTAGTAGTCGTGGTCTCCAATCTGCGCCTGCCGACGCACCGCCTCTGTCGGCACCGCACGCAGGCGGGTGCCCAGCAAGAAGTGGAAAGGGAAGCCGCGCGCCAGGAGCGCGATCTCGTCCAACCTCCGCGGCTGGATCAGGCTGCACACATTGAACCCCAAAAAACTTGCAGCGCATGAGTGTACCCTGGGGAGTTCGATAGGGCGGTGCAGGGCCCCTTCTGAACTAGGGTGTGTCGTTGGGATGTTCAAAGCGGGGACCCCCTGCATGGGCCCACTGAATCGCGGCTCGACACAGAATGGGGCTGCGGAGGAGGAGGAGGAGGAGGACGAGGAGGAGGAGGACGAGGACGAGGAAAAGGAGGATTGGGGGTCGCAGGAGGAGGCGGGAGGAGCAGCAGCATCTGGGGGGAGGAGGGAGGGGCAGAGAACTTAACAAGAGCAGGAGAAAGGAGCAAGGATCAGGAGCAGAGGGAAAGGACACCACTACCTTAAGAGCCTCTGGGGAGGAGGGGCAGGCGGCCTTGTCCAAGCGAGACGCGGGCCCTGCTCCACGACCCGCCCGTGCATGCTCTCATTGCTTGTGTTCTTGCCCCTACCTCTGCTACTTGTGTTCCTCCCCCTTTTGGTCAGAAGTTCCTGTTGCTGTTCCTCCTCCTCCTCCTCCTCCTCCTCCCCCTCCTCCTCCTCCTCCTCCTCCTCCTCCTCCTCCTCCTCATCATCGTCCTCTTCAGCCGTTCTGGCTCAGGCATTTCGCTGCTGCGTGCCTGTTTGGCTACAGCTTTCAGCACCCCGCGGGGCTGCCTCGCCCGCGCTCCCCAGGGGCGCTCTTCACGGCAGATGGTGGCGATGTCTTGCCAGGACCGCGTACATCGTACTGGTCATGTGCGCGAAGTGGGCGTCTCGCTTGTTCTGCCGCTGCGGCAGACCAGCACCAGCCCAGGTCGCCAAAGCAGCCCGTGACAATGCAAATAGTGCTACGCGGTCTCCTACTGGCGCTCAGCCTCCTCGTGGTGGTCTTGGGGGCAGTTGCGTCGGCAGTATTTCTACGGCGCAACTTCCCAAACAGCTTGCGGAGTTGCAGAGGAAGTATGACACATTGGTTGGCAGTGGCACAGGTGGTGGCTCGTCTTCCATTGGTGGTGGCATCGATGGCCCTGGGTCATCTCTTGCCCCGCGTGAACACGAGCAAAAGGAGCAAGCGCTGCGTGACACTATCAAACATCTGGAGCAGGCCTGCTTTTCTTTGGATAAGGTCCCCAACAGTGACGAGACCAAGGCGGCCCTCGATGATCAGTTGCAGGAAATGCGCAAGCAGTTATCAAGTCTCAAGCCCGAGTTCACGGTGCACGCCAACATCGAGCATCGACTCCAGCGCGCTGGGCTCAAAGGTGGAGAAGATCGCCAACCAGGTCTCGGAGCAGCTCGATGTACTACGGGTGGTGGCTCAGGAGAAGTTGGACAGCTTGCAGGCTCAGCATTACCTCGCTACCAAGAAGGTCGTTCAGTTGCGCAAGGAGCCTCTTGTTGCTCTCCTTTCCACGGCGGCTCAGAGTAACGATGCGTTAGGTATGGATGATTTGGCACGCAGCCCCGAGGAGAAGGCGCAGCTGGATGAATTGTTCAACTCAGCCCACTTTCAAGTTTCAGAAGGAAGTGCCCACACGCAGGGCGGCCCAGAATAACGCACCGACTCGTCCTTGTTCGGTGCAACTGATGATTCTCGCAAGGGCGAGGGCGTCGGCGAGGGCGTCTTCGGAGGATCGGCCCCCGCAGGCGCAGGCGCAGCGCCGCCTTCGCCAGGCACCCCCACCTGCACCTCAGCAGCCGCGGCCGAGGCAGCCGCGGGCGCGGCGGCCAGCGCGGCGGCCGCGGGCGGCGCCGGCGAGGAGGGAGGAGCAGCGGCGGCAGCAGCCGCCGAGCTGCCCGACCACGACATCGACGAGGATCTCGAGGACCTCCTCTGGACCGCCCAGCGCGTCGAGAAGAGGACCTTCCACGAGAGGCGTTCTGAGTTGCTTGCCATGCGTCAACGCTTGGGGTGGCGTGCCTTTTTTGGCCTAAATGTTGCGGCGTGCGCATGTCCAAGCATGGCGCTGTTCAGCCCCCCCCCCTCCCGCCTCGCCTCGGCCCCGACTGCGAGGGCTTGCTCGGTGATGGCGAGGCCGTTGAGTCTGATAACTGCAATTGCTGGGGCACCTTGGGTGACAGACTCGCGGCCAGTTCGGCGCTCATCTTCCTCGCTCAGGAGGTGGGCTTCACTTGGGGCACTCGGGTGGGGGGAAGTGCGACGCCGTGGGCAAGTTCGGATGGAATCGAAAGCGCTCGCTTCTCCTTCGGTTTCTGGGGCAAAAGGCCCGGGCGGGGCGTGGCAGTCCTGGTGCGGACCCGCCCGGGCGTGCGCTGGCCCGAAAAAGGTGGCGTTCTTGTTCCAGCTCGAGCCATGAAGGTCATCGCTGACATTCCTAACTGGCCCCCGCCCGCCGTGGTCCGTTAATATTGGAAGAGCAGCGCTGGCATGTGCGAGCTCAACGTGTTTTATCTGAAGACCATCGGTCTTTCGTTGGTAGAGCACGAAGGCTCAGTGGTGCGCGCGGGGGTCGGAACCTGGAACCTGACCTCGTGGGAAACATTGATCTCGTTCGGCGGCTCGGACCCCTCTCGCTCGTTCCCCCGCCCAGAACGCGCGCCTGTACCCGCGCGCTGAGCGCCGTCGATTTTTTCATGTGCAGTGCGTATTTCTCGAAAGCGATTGAAAACATTAGCTGTGATGTTTCGTGGAGCGGCCGCCCCCGACATCCTGTTCGGTTGCAACTTAAGGGGCCAGCGGCTCGGCTGCGCCAACTTGTCTACAGAAGTCACCAGCGGCCTCCTGTTGAGCCGCCCTTTGGACCCACCCCGCAACCGCAGGATTGGACGTTGGCGAGAGACATCGCCGAATGTGCTGCGCAGGCGGGGATGGGCCTGCCCGTTGGCGTCGCTTGGGAGCTGCTCAGCAAAGCGTGGCAGGCTTTGTAGACTCGAGCTTGAGCTTGGATCATGTTTGGGCGTGCCGACCAAGGACAAGGGGTCGAAGGGGGGTCGCCGAAAGCCACTTGGGCCTCGATTTCCTCTGCCCCAGGAAGTGCTTGCACTGAGCTGGTCAACCAAGGGTGGGTTTGGTTGTCGCGGCGTGTTTCGGAGGCGGTTGGAGTTGCCGCGCGGTCCCTGACCGCGGCCCTAACCACGACCAAAAGGATATGGAGGAGAGGGAGGAGGAGGAAGAAGAAGAGGAGGAGGGCGTGGACCACGACCACAAAACAGGAGGAGGAGGAGGAGGAGGAGGAGGAGGAGGAGGAGGCCGCCCCGCCCGTGCCCCCACGGAACAGGCGCCGCGCCGTCCGCGAAGCTGCCGTTCGACAGCTGGGCGGCGTGGTGCCAGGTCTGCCACCACGGCGGGCACATAGGATCCGCGCCCCACGCGCTGCCGCAGGGGCGGAGGGACGACGACGACGACGACGACGACGACGACGACGACGACGACGACGACGGCGGCGGCGGCGGCGGCGGCGACGACGACGACGACGAGGACGACGACGGAGGGGGTGGGCGGGGGGAGGTCGCGATGGGAAGGACGGAGGGAGGGGAAGAGAGGGAGGGAGGGCGCGGAGGGAGGGGGAGAGAGGGAGGTCACGGGGGAGGGCGGAGGTAGGCAGCGCGGGGAGGGCGCGGAGGGAGGGCGCGGGGGGGGGCGGTGGAGGGGGAAGAGAGGGCGGAGGGCAGAGGGGAGGCAGGGCGTGAAGTACGGAGGAGGGGTAGCAATCATAGCGGTAAGAGCAGTAAGAGTAATAAGAGCACGAGTGGGGGAAGAGGAGGAGGAGGAGGAGGAGGAGGAGGAGGAGGAGGAGCAGGAGGAGGAGGAGGAGGAGGAGGAGCAGCAGCAGGAGGTCCGTAGCCAATTCGGCTCAAGACTAAAAGTGTGACGGTAAAGTGACACACCTAATCACGATTAGCGTTGACCCGACCCCGCAGCGGGCTCGAACCATTGCAGGGAGAAGATTCCGCGCACCGGAAAGTCGATCGGCCCCCTTTTGCGCTGAAGTGCTGCCATGGCGGGCCGCTCTGCTCGGCCTGCTGCTCCTCCTCATCAGCGTGCTCAGCGGGACGCCTCCGGCGACAGCGGAGAGCGCTCCCACTCGAGGAGCAGTGGCGGCCGCCCAGCCCGGAGGAGGGCCAGCACAGCGCAGCGTGCCGCTCGGGATTGTGCGAGGGCCGCGGCGGCAGGAATCACATTGGTGCAGCTGGAGCGGACCCCTACAGTCGGGGCCCTGAAGAAGGAACCCTTTTCGTTGGGGAGGGGCTCCGCGTTCCTTCAGTGTTTCGCAGCTTGCCTCAGGTTTTCTTTATGTTTTCGATGGGAAATCGAAGTTCAACTTATGGAAAAAAGGGGCCTCGTTCCTTATTTTGGGTTCCTTAGGTCAAGGCCCCGACTGTACGTGGACAAGACGCGCAACGAGATTCTCACGGGCCTGCAGGCGACGTTCACGCAGCGCGCTTCCCAGGTGGTGTAGTCGCGTGATGGCCTGGGCCGACACAGGGAGAGGGTGATCGGCGTGGTGGAAGCGACCCAGCGCGCACAGGCCAGGGAGATTACGCGCCTGCGCTCAACTGTTCAGCAGCCCTCGTCGGACTCCGCAGTGCTCCGCGACGACAACCCACAGGGCCGCCCGATGGAGGACCCTGGCTTCAAGAGGAAGATCGATCCCACAGCGGTGGTCATCACAGCTCGCCTGCTCGTCGCCAAGGAGAAGGCCTAAGCTGCCCCCACCCCCTTCCTCAAGTCCTGCAACATGTCGGCGGATACGGACTACGCCTGGGAGGGGGGCCCGACGGGCAAGAAATTTCTCGCCAGGTTCCAAGGTGCGGAGGGCCTGGCCCGCCGCAAAGTTTCGCGGTGTCTCGGGAACCCCAAGTGCGCCGACGGCCGCTGGGAACAGTTCTCAGCTGTGGCGGTTGGCGGTGAGTTCTCAGGCCCATTCCTCAGTTGTGACAAGAAGCCCTACACGATCAAGAAGGAGCTGACCTTGCGGGCCGCTAGGAGGGTGGTGGAGCAACAGCATCCAACCATCAAATTTGTCTCGGACAAGGGCAAGGGCATCCTCAGCGCCAATCGGTTGCCCTTCTTCAAGATATCGCCCCTCGAGGGCGGCGCCGAGCCGAACGCCGAGTGGAACCTCGACAACCTCAGGACGCTGCAGATCCCCAAGGAGGCGTTGGCCCCCCAGGTCCTGCGGCCCCGCAGACGGGCTTCGTACGCGGCCGCGACTTCGGGGATGACATCATAGAGCTGGATGTGGAAGGACGATGTGCTTCGTTGGCTCCAGATGCGCAGGCCCCCCCCCCCCTCCTGGCTACCTTCGGCTCGGCCTGCGCCTTCCCCGGGCGTGGCCCACGACTGGCTGCTCGCGGCCCTTCGCTCGATCCACCTCCCCCGACCCCGCTCCGCGGCCTTTTACTTCAGGATCTACTTCTCCGCGAGGTGCTTCTGGCAGCTCGGGGACTCCTTTGGGGCTTCTTCCAGATCTTCCCGGGGATCCTTCCAGGGGGCCCGCCCAGCGGGGCCCGATTCGCGCTGGCCATGGACCCCTTTCGCGGAACAGGTTGAGGCTCTCGTTGACCATCCGGGCAAAGGATTAGCCACAGTATGCGCTGACGATGTTGGGGTGATTCTGAGGGCCATCTCGCCTCTCCGCAGGTCGACGCAGTTATCCGAAACGCTTCCAGGTTGTCTCGGCTAGACCGGAAGCCCTCGAAGTGCGTTCTGGCCCCCTTCTTTGGACCGCTCGGTGAGTCCACGCGGGCCCGAGTGCAGAGCTGGCCAGACCTCAACCCTCCCCGAGTGGAGCTCTGTCCAGGTCTGTTGCGGTCACCAAATCTCCAGGGCTGTGGATCGGACCTGCGGCCCGCCTAGAGTCGTGGGCGGCGCCGCGGGCCAAGTGGGAGGACCGTGCGCTCACCTTTTCGGCCTCTGACCCTCCGTCCTCCGTTGTCGCTCACCCGTGCTCCCGCCGGGCGGTCTCGGTCCGCTCGCACGTAGCGCAACTTATGCCCGTGGACCCGTGGACCGGTACGACGGAGCCTTCTCTTTTGGCCAGCCTGCTTAACCAGCCCTACCGGGCAATCCGCGACAGAGACTGGTGCATCCTTCATCTCCGGGGTGGACCCAGGACCCCCTCGGTGGCCCTCATGGGCGCAGCGGCTCCCATGAGAACTGCCTTCTTCATTTTCCGCTCCTGGCCATCTGCGCTGCGCAGGCGGGGATCGAGCTGGGGAGGCGGGGCGTGGTCGCACCGCCCCGAGCTGGTGGCTCTCCCCTGCCTTTGCAGAGCATCTGAATCTCCCTGCTCGAGGGCTCCCAGGGACGCGCCTCGCGAGAACTTCTGGGGCGCGCCGTGATCGTCCGTGTGAGGCTGCTGCGGAGAAAGGGGTCGCCTTCGAGATGCGAGACGGCCAACCGATGCTGCCCCCCGGAGCAGAGGCCCGCGAGACGAGGCCCCTCCACCCGCAGCGAATCACGTACGCCGCGCTCCGAGAGCAGATGTACCCTGACGGTTTCGACACCCTCCTCAAGGGCTCCCTCGAGGGCGCGAAGTTATTCGCGCTTCGCGCTTCGCGGTCCTCGTTCCTTCTCCCCCTCCTCCTCGTCCTCCTATTCTCCCTTTGGGAGGGCGGCGCGAGAGCGCGAAGTTATTCGCGCTTCGCGCTTCGCGCAGCGCGAAGCGCGAAGTTGGGAGCCGCCTCGCCCGATCTGTTCCTAACTCTCGGGGGGGGGAACTCCCAGGGATCCAGTGGGGAAGCATCCGTTCGGCGCTCGCCCGTTGCTCTCCATGACATGGGAATGCCTGTCTGAGGTCGCTCACGGGATGCTGGAGCACGCCCCGCAGATTTCGCGACCCCCACCCTAGTCCGTGTCTCCTCGGATGCGCGCCCGCGACCGAGCAGCGACGCCTTTCTCCGCCAGTGGCACTGCCCGAAATTCCGGAGGCTCGCATCCCTGACCAGAGCGAAGCCGCTCCCCTCGCACCTTTCTCGAGTCCTCGGGCCTCTGTGGCCCCTCCCCCTCGTCCCTCTGGCCGACGGTCGTGGGATGCTTCCTCGCTGCTGCTGTGCGCTCTGCGGCACGCAGCCTAGGGGGCCACATGCGAACCCTACCCCTACCCCCCACGAGTTCTGAGGGGGAGGCTGGGGTTCACCCTATCCGCCCCTCCCCCTCTCGCAGGCCCAGAGGTTGACACCAGCACCAATTTCGGCGGTGTGCCTCCACCGAGGGAAGGAGATCCCGATCTCGGTGGTGGTGGTCATGTTCGCATCTGGCCCCCTACAGCCGCAATCGACCTCCTCACAACGGTGGATGCCCTCGACCTGCTCCCACTGATCGGGTGGCACGTGGCGCGGTCCCCGCCGGCTGTGGATCCGCGAGCCCGCTCGCCCCCCGGGCTACGCCTGCAGGAGGAGGAGGGGAGGAGGAGGAGGAGGAGGAGGGACAGGAGGAAGAGGGAGGAGGAGGGAGGAGGAGGAGGAGGAGGAGGAAGAGGAGGAGGGATGAGGAGGAGGAGGAGGCGGAGGAGGAGGAGGAGGAGGAAAAGCAAGAGGATTATGATGACGAGGAAGAGGGAGGAGGAGGAGGAGGAGGAGGAGGAGGAGGAGGAGGAGGAGGAGGAGGAGGAGGGAGAGGAAGGAGGAGGAGGAGGAGGAGGAGGGAGAGGAAGGAGGAGGAGGAGGAGGAGGAGGAGGAGGAAAAGGAAGAGGATTATGATGACGAGGAAGAGGGAGGAGGAGAAGGAGGAGGAGGAGGAGGAGGAGGAGGACGAGGAAGAGGAAGGAGGAGGAGGAGGAGGACGTCGCAAGCTGGCTCCTGACATACCCTCAGCTGAGCTGGTCGGTCTTGCTGCCGCTCACAGGCGTGATCAACTCGTCGGCCTCGTGGAAGCTTGTCGCGTGCGTGTCGCCCTTTCTCGGAGACTGTGGCCGGTGTCGTGGCGAGAGCACCATTCCGGGACCGAAGAGGTCCAAGGTCTCGCTCGCAGAGATCGGGCGGGGGTCGCCCACAGCAGAAGGAGAGGGGGAAAGAGGAGGAGGAGCGGGAGGAGAGGGGGAAAGAGAACGAGGAGTGGGAGGAAAACGAGACGGGGAGGAGGGGGAGGCGAGGGCGAGAGGGAGGGGAAGGAGGGGGAGGGCGAGGACGACGTGAGAGGAATGAGAGGCAGGGGAAGGAGGAGCAGAAGGGGGGGGCCGTATGACTGTATGACTAGGTGGGGCCGGGCCCCTTTTCCTGAGAGCTGGCAGCGCCTATCATTCGGCAGGCCATTCAAGAATATTCTCGTCCCCTTATTTTTGAAAGGCTTCGCAACAGGACAGCTCAGGAGGGGGGGAGAAGGAGGAGGCGGAGGAGGACCAGTGCAAACCC